GGGCTCCTCAAAGTGGGGTTAACGGAACTGGGGAGAACATGGCACTGCCAGGAGTCTGTGAGGGCATAAAGTACACAGGCCACATCCACCGGGGCAGTGTTTTTTCAATGGTCAGTCATCTAAAATATTATTTTTTATTTAAAACACCAAAATGTCTACATGAGTAGCCTACAAAATTCAAATGCAATTTTGAGATAAAACAGATTGTGAATAAATTGCCATGCTCCAGGCTTCTGGGGTTTGAGTTCATTTTTTTTTTTACTGTGAGGTAAACTTCGGTGAAGAGTTTGAGGAGCCCTGTTAAGTGATGAAGTGATTCAGTGCTTTTGTAAAAGAAATAGACAAAACACAACGGTTGAAATCGAATGGTGCCAGGAAATCGAATTGCTTGAAGTATCTGCTTTGTTTCTGAGACAGCCCTACTGGATTTTGAGAATCACATTTTGGGGCACAGATGCTGGCAGCCTTGTGCCAGCCTGTGGGGTTGGCCTCTGACCACACCGTCCCCGCCATACTTCATGTCCAGTGGGATTCCCTATGGCTGCCCCATCTGGTGACAGTGTGGACTTCACCACATGACCTAGAAACCTTTCTGAGCTTCACTTTCTTTGTCTGTAAGTGGGGTGTTACTGCGTTACTGTGAGGATGTTTATCAAATGCCTTATACCTGGTAGAGAGCTGATAAATTATGGAGATTGGTGACCCTCTGACAGACACTATTCCAAAATGGGAGAATGAGAGTCCCTTTTTTTTTTTTTAGCTAAGCCATCCTGCCACCTGTTGGCAGCTCAGCAGCAGCTCAGCTCAGGCCGGGAATTGATCCGGCGACTCTGTTGCTCAGAGCTCATACTCTTGAGCGAGGTCTTAACCAACTGAGCCACTCAGCCAGCCCAAGATTCCCTTTCTCCTTATTGTTAAATAGCTGGGCCCATTCACACATCACACAAAAACTCAGTGAGTAGTGAAAAGCACTGGGGGCATTTACTGGAGAGGAAAATGTGGCATTCAGGGAAGACTTCAGAGTAAGTATTGCAATGATTGGTGTGTGGAAGAGGAGCTTTGTGAATCCTTCACAGGTGTTTCAGGAGGATTCCGTGTCAGGACTTGCCCAGGAAGGAGCCCTTGGCAGATAGAGG